ATCCCTGGGCTCACATCATCTAACATCCCAGAGATCATCCAAGGTCCCTGGGTAGCATATATATATTAGCCTGATATAAGCCACAAGCGACAACCTCACAGACACCCAACTGTTTCAGGATGGAGAGAGGCACCTACATGTACGTGGGAAGTAGCTTGCCAAAGGTCACTGCACATAAATTTTGTATGAATTTTACATATTTTGTGCAGCTTTCTTCTCCTAAAACCAGTGTTGCAGTCGAGTCCTAAATTCTGAGTACAGATCTCTGAGCACTTTAGGGACGAGTCCTGGGCCAAGTATAAGTACATTAATACATGTAGGAAGCAAGGCTTGCGGTACCGAGAACAAGTACATTCAAGTCCAAGTACTAGACTGAATCCGAGTACCAACATCCAAGTCCACGTCCGAGTATGAGTACACACTTGTACAATACATATAAACAAATGAAATACCAAAGTGAACACATCTACATACATGTATATCGCTTAAAACAAACCCTGCAACAATCGGCTTTACCGAGTAGTTAACACTGTGAACTTGTTTAATATTTGTGCGTGCTATCCCACTCCTCTCCAATATTCTGTTTTTGCTTATGCCCACACATTCTGCACTGTGCTGCTTTTGCCCTTTACTGCTGAATTCTTAATGATCCCCATAAGCCCATTTTATACGAATAGGCAATTGCTGACATATTCAACCATGGAAAAGCTACGAAAAAGTGCAACAAAACCTCGGCTCATATCAGCACTACAATTTCCTGCAGTAAAAACTGTGGAGGAGAAAACTAGACAAGCAGAAAGTTCCTTGTATCCAGGGCACAATAAGCATTATATAGGCCCTTTGTGTTACAGACTACAGAGTGAAATTGCTGCGTTGTGTTTGAGTTGTGTTCAAGGTTGAGTAATGCAATCTTCACCCATCACCTGAAAACATTATCGATAAAAAGTGAAGAACTCAAATTTTTTCTTAAGTACTGGAGTCGAATACTGAGTACCTACCGGTATTTCAAGTGTCGAGTATGTACAATCTATACATGTAAATGTATACTTACTGACAGAAACTGCAATTAAGACAGCTATAAAACAATTTTAACGAATTTTTTGATGAAACACAATTCAACTTTCTTTCATTGGTCAGTTGTAGATCAAATAAAATCAATTAAGCAACACTACAAAAAAACAACAAAAAAAGAATAGGTCTAGTCTGCAGTTGATAAAATACAAAGAAAATGTGATGTGTGAATACAGACTTTCAGTCTTGACATTTTAATATTACTGAGAAGCATTTTATTTAAATCATGTACTCGTATGTACAATGTATTACTGCCTTCATCAGGTGTTTTTTTTTATTCACTGAAAATGAAAAGAAATCAAAATGAATACCAATGGAGCATAGCGGTACCATTGAGTAAATGGTGGACCTTACTTTTCAAATTGCTGAAAGAGCAATTCCTGAATGTGTGATTTTTAACACTGGATCAGAACCATAAAAACCACACACTCTGAAGTGGCACCCGCATTGTTCAGTTTTAAACTTCCGGTTTGTGAATAGAATGGGTGAGCCTCAAGAATGAATAGGAACAAGCTAGAAGTACCCTTATCAACCTGATCTTCTAGACAGGCTCATGCATAGTATGTACAGTCACAACAGAATCACAACCAAATGACTTTATGCTGGTAGGCATTTGAGTTATAAAGAGAAACATCGACCGAGCTAACAACATGAAAGTTACAAATGAAAATTTGGCTTACAACCAGACTTCTGTACAATGTTCCAACCAGATGAACATGATTAAGATCATCAGAGACTTCTTTCTGTATGATGTAATGTGCTTATGGGTGTAGTTTTACTTGATATGTATGGGTACTAATACATGTACATGTATGTACCGGTAGGCCTACCTGTGCATGTATACATGTACTGGCCTTAAGTGATATCCATGTGCTCAGGAAAAATGTAAAAGCAAATACCCCGAAAAAGCATCAGTTACACTTCTTCTGTGGCAATTTCTGCAAGACAGAAAATGGGTAATCTAATGCTAAATGCTTATAATGTTGGTGCACTATGATAACATAAGTTCTAAGAAATATTAGAAAAAATAACGCATCAAGTTTTGTTTGTTTGTTTGGTTTTTTTTAAGGTGATTATCGTGACAAAAACAAAATAAACAAAGATGGTAACGGTCGAGCAACACATTTGCTACAATTAACAAGGTAACCAGATAAGGAGACCAACTTACATGGCCTAAATTTTCATACAGCTCGTCTCTTTTAAAAGATCAAAAACATTTCATAATGTGTAGATTTATGCTGTTCAGAAACTGACAAGTAAGACATAGGCATCTCAAAGGCCTTGGGGCCCCTTTTAAGAGCATTAACTGTCTTCAGCATCACAGGAGAACCTAGTGCATCCCTTATCAAATTTCATGAAGCACATGATAATGACATCACTACATGTTGCCACAGTGATGGGGGCAGAGATCCTTCTTTGACGTCACTCAGTACAGAGACAGTGAATATTAAACTCTCTTTTAAAACGGTACGAGGGAAATCAAAACAGGAAATGCAGTCCTTGAGGTTTGCAGACAGGTAACGCTGAAAGGTTTTCAAAGCATGTAATTTGATGTAATTTTCTCAACAGTGTCAAGATTATTCCGGCCTTCTTCATTATGCAGCCATCAAGGGGGGATTGAGAATCCAAATATTTAAAGCCCATGAGTCTACATTTTGGGGCCCTTTTTAACACTTTCGGATGAAAGGGGAAAGAAAACGACCCAACACTCACCTTAACCTCACTATTTTCCAAAAATTCCTTTGGCTCCTTTTGGGTGCATGGGTTTTCTTTTCAATGAAATAGGGCATGGGAAGTCCACCTTCTCAAAAAGCGGGGGGGGGGGATATATACTCTATCCTCCCCATCCACCCCCCCTCCATTATTGCCTTGTCTTCTAACAATCTATGAAACTCAACCAAAAAACAGATTGAATCAGCCCATTTTGAAAAACTGAGGCTTTTTTGTGATACCGAAAACACTAAATGATGATCTGATCGATCAGTTTCATGTAAAATGGTAAGACCACATTAATAAATACACAAAAAGTGTTGTTAAACCCAGGTCTTCCTGTTTCCATGTACAGTGGTACCAGTGCTGACTCTCCCTTTAACAATCCTAGTGAGGCCTGCGCAGTCATTCAGATGACTGGAATTTTCCACTAGCACTTCACATGGGATCCTTATTGATCTCTTTTATTCCAAGGACGCAAAACCACCAGGACAGTATGTGTTCATTATAATTCCATGTACTGATCAATCCACAATGCCAGCTTGGCAAAAAAAATCAAACAATGGCCAACTAAAGTGAAGAACCGTTACATTCTCTGTGTGTAAATATGCTACTGGCCTGGTCTTGCGGATCTGTCCACTCCCTTTTCACGAGAGGCCTAATCTACATGTATTCCAGCTCTTTCCCCATGAAATCCTGGACTTCATCAATGTGCTTTACAAGGTTTCAGTGCATTTCAGTGTACCAAATACACTGAATACAATTGGTTAATAATAATTATAGAATTTATGCAGCACAAACTCTATGTCCAATTGTGCTGTACGCACATTCAAAAGAATAAACGTTACTATTATTTATTTATTTATTTGGCCATTGACAAGAATACGTACAACTCTAAATAAAAGACACAGAGTGTCTTATTTTGCCATGCAAAAAAAAAACCAAATCCAAGCTGGCCAGGATTGACAAAAGTGTACCTACATGTACATGTACAAACACTGTGGTTCAAAAGCATGTCGATCCAAACTTGAACTGGGAACACAAAGGTAATTTTTAAAAAAAAAGCAAAACAGAATAAATTTTATTAAACAAAGAATACAGTAATCAGTTGGTAAATTTCATAAAAATAAAAGTTGACAATTTAATTTTTAAACTGAATATTGATTTACAAATTACTGAATGCACTGCTACACCAGATATACGTAAAATTCTAAATAAAAACTAGGCATGCCTCAAGGACATAAAAAGTAAGTTTTACAAGTGACTGCGAGTTCAATTAATACAAGTGACTGTAAGCATTATTAATTAAATTAAAATTCATATAAATTAATAACACCAAAAAATCTGCAATAGATCTAACGCAATTTGAACAAGATGAGTTTTAGCAGTGTCTGGAAACAGTTTAAATCACAAGTAAAGCATTTTCTTATGCTTTCTACTTGCAAACTTCCCTGTCTTACAATTCTGTACAAACACGAAAAAAACTACAAGTGACCGCAATACATAAACAGAAACAGTACAAAAATACATATTTAATGAATATGAATAACCTCTAGAAATCGAGATTTGGAGTCAATTATCCTGAATCTTGAAACAAAAAACACACCCCCGGTCAAAACATTTAGGTGTGGGAGCCAACGCTATCTCTCCTGCCTGAAGATGGCAGCAGAGATGGATGGTATTTCACCTTGTGCTGATCTACTAAACAAACCCACTTCTGACAACAGAGGATGAACAAATCAAAACTCTCAAGCTACAGTACTAAAAGGAAGAGACAATACCAAATAGCCCTTCATGTTCAGAAACTGATGAATTAACAGCACTTCTCCCACCTATGCCGAAAGAAAACTCACCTAAGGCGGGCCCATATCCATTGTTCTTTGTGCTGTTGACCACATCGCACAGCGTCTCGCACATTTCTTCACATGCGGACAAATTGCCAAATAAAGTTGGGTCACCTGCATGCAACGTACATGTAAAAAAAAAAAAGACCAGTGAAAGGATTGTTAATAAACTCATTTCCTGAAGTCTCACAATACGGCAACCAAGCCATGCATGCACAGACGTATGTACATTTACATGTATAATCACATGTACAACTAATGCATACGTACATATACATAACTCCCACGACAGGCACCACTAGCTATTCGGCCCACTTCAAGGTCAACCGGGGAAAAAAATGAAATATGTTTATCTTTTTTTGTGAAGTTCAACCAACCCTACATGTGCTTTAGCATCCTCTCAAAGATAGAGACAGATACGAAGGACATCTTGAAGAGTATTACCTCTGTGTGCCCTCAACCCCATGGAAAGATGCTAATGAGTTTGTGCACATTCAGAGGAAAATATGTCACTTGTACAATGTACATGTACAGTGTACATACTGTACATTCGTACTGCAGGGTCAATACCATACGCAGACCAGTCCAAGCACACACTTTGTCCTCCACTGGTGGCTCTCTCATGAGAAGGATTGCACTTCACATTTTTCTGTTGTTCCTTGCCATTACCGAGTACCAGCTGTAAGGGGGTCTATTGAGCCAAAGAGTGTCATCTACATGTACTGTACCATACTACATGTACAGTGTACATAATTCTTTCAGCTGTGGGCACACACAAATGTAAAATACCTACTGTGGGACCCAAACCACTGTGGCTATGCATCAAAATCCTTGAATTCTGGTCCCAACATTCCTAATGAGAGAAAAATTTCCAAAATTTGGTGGCATCCAGTACAGAGTCCATGGACAATCGGTTGTCACAGTTTGTATATATCAGCATTTCCCACAAGTCACTTTATTTGCTGGTGGGGGGATGGGTGAAATGCAGTTACTGTCTGAGTCCCTGTCCCTCTGTCTGCTTGGGCATCCTTTCCTACTGCAGGTACTGTGCATGTTATAGTTGAGACCTGGACAGAATTCCATACGCGGATGCCGTCAGACATCCTGCCGAAAAACCCAATGAGACCGGTCTGAAAAGTTTTGTTTTCTAAAAATATACTTCACCATTTTCACTGCTAAATTTTACATTTTAAGACATTTAATTGCTTTCAGATGGCTAAGAGGTCGCTACGGGTAAAAATAGTGACGTCCAAATATGGAAGTCCTTCCTTGAGACTGTCCGACTATAGTTTGGATGATCTCAACTACCTGTACATCTACGTGGAGTGCTAGTGTTATCGTCGTTGGGCCAGCCAAACTATGGTAAAGGGTGTGCCTTAGCATGCACAATCATCATTTACGTATTTTTATCAGCAACAAAATCAATCTAGCTTCTAATTGCATTAAGGATGAACTGCCAGACTAATGTATTGTCAAGAAGAATTCTGTCAGGTGTGAGCTGCAAAAGCCTAAAGAGAATACGGTTGAGAATTTTCACCAGAAGTTTGCAGACTAAAGTTGGGATAGCTTAACAGCATGTTTTTTTTCTACAAGTAGCACCTTCACCTACAGTTGGCCGTCAGTACAAAATGAAATGAATAATTCACAAAGTGTTAAAAGTCCCAAGCAGCTATCATACCTGATAATAACATGCAATTACTAAATACTAAATGAAAATACAACCCCATTTAAATTAATTGGACAAATGTCTATTTGAACAAATTTGAAGTTCAACCAAAAATCAACCAAGCCAATATTTCTGCAAACGTTTGCTACCCATACAAGTTGTAGGCAAAATGAGAATGGTCTACAGCTGGGATCAAAGATCATATAACACTGTTAAAAAGTATGTCTCGTAAAAACAAATGTTTCGAAAAATAGATCACAGAGAACGATCTCTAAAAATAAAATCTCGTAAAAACAAACTTGTGAAAAATATATCTCACAGAAACAAAATTTGGAAGAAAATGTATCTCATAATACAACCTTGGAAAAATTATACTTCACTTTTTCAATATATATATTTGATGGCACTCCCGGCTTTAGTGCTTCTCCATTCTCTGAGGATACATCCCAGGGATGGGCATCACTACTTCCATCCAAAAATTTATATAGCTTCATAAACTGTGATATTTGTTCAGTAAAAGAATAAAACCAAAAAAGAAATGGCACACATAAAAATGAAAGCAGCAATAAAAAAGGCATCAAGTTAGATAGCGTTTACTACCTCCAAAGTCCATGTAGCTGCAGTACAAAATGGTTAACATTAATAACAGTAATATTTCAAGCAGGTCATTTTCGGTAGCTGATAACTAAGTGTGTTTACAGTTTAAAAGTCAATTACATGTGAGTTGTTAAGTAGTTTATTAACCGTAACTGAGCCCTCTACTGGTCTTTTAGTACACTGAAAGTAAACTGGAGGGATTAACAGGAAGCGTGCGATTTGTTTAGGTCGTTTTCGTCAAGAGAATGAGAGGGTGCTGAGTAAATGCTTGGATCTTTTTCAAGAAATGTTCGTTGTATGGTCTTAAAACCATACATGTACATGTAGGTCAGAAGATTTAAAGAAATATGCATCAGTTTTGACAGCTTTTTAGGGGAAGATCTATCTGTGTGAGAAAGTGGAATTTTTCCCGAAACGTAAATGTACCCCAATTTGACATAACTAGGATGCATTCAAAACCCACAGCATTGCGAACCCAAAAAATGTCATATGCCTCCAAGTCACTTGGAGCAGTGGGTCACCTCCAAGTCACGCAGAGTAGTGACTTGGAGTTCTTCTTGGAGTCCATGGTGATTTCACCTTTTTGCAGGTTTCCCCAACTCACTCCACAACATGGCGCTATCTGCCCCGAGTTGAAGTGCACTCTCACCGGCAAAAGAAAAATAGACTGGTTCAAAGTTTTCCAGCAGGGTTCTTGCACATGTTCAGCGTGCATGTGAAGACCGTACATTCCAGAAATAATTTGTTGCACGTAATTAGTGTGCTACGTGTAAGACGCAAACAGACTTGCCCACCTATACAGTGAGTTTGTACCACAGGACTGTCAATTTCATTTTAAAAACACACCCTCTTTTATTCCCGCTTGGAGCAGATACGATCTTTGGTCAGGACTGCTCCATATATAGTTGGAGCACTATCCATGTCATGTACACTCACCCAGTGACAGGGATATGAAGTCTTTGTTTGGGTTGGGCTCTAGTTTCATGCCATCTACGATAGCCCGAATGGGATTGTGAGTCCTGGTGGCCATGTCCGAGGCACGGACGGTCCATTTAGACCTCTTCCCATTCAGCAGTTCTGCCATCTAAAAAGAGAGAATTACATGTACATGTTGGGTTGCAGTTCAAGAACTATGCTGCATGTGCTTTCAACTGAATATACTGTATTCGCGGGTTACCCAATTTCATATTGTATACATGTACACTGAAACCCTTCATGGGATTGTGACAGGTGATTATGGGGGTCGGAAGGTACTCATAGAATAAATTCCGGTTCTTTAAATTTAATGTTTTTAAATGAATACACTAACTACGTTGAGGAATCTGACTGAAATTGGGTCCCACGCACGCGAATTTGACCATCACGCCTATGGACGTAAATTTACATCACTAACTCCCTCAGTTCAAATGTTGACAAAAACGAAAAATTCCAGATCCTAAATATAAATCTCTAATTATTGGTGGGGACCTAAGCCTATTACTGATAAATCAGTAGCATTTTCACTATCACATTCATAATCTGCAGATCATCGTCACTGCACTTCGCAATGAACGATGTCATGCGTCGCCATGAATGTTAATACCGGAAACAAGACCGCAAAAATTCCCCAACTCTTTCACAAAAAAATCAGAACGATAGAACGATCTAAATCAACAAAAAGGTTCTCAACACGAATAACAACGGAACAAACACGATTTTACCTTAAACTGAGCCCAAATAATTGTTAGAATTCCCAATATCACGAACAGAGTACGGCGAGCACGTTGCTAGCTTGCACTGCATTTCCCGACTACGTAATTGTGTTAGCATTGCGAGGCCGGCCGCCGGCGCGGCGTGCGTGGTACGACATCGTGTTTACTCGCGCGACGTGTCTAATACAGTGACGTCACGGCTCCGGAGGCGTGTCTAAAATGCGACAAGTTGATTGGTTCGACTGTGGGCGTGATCAGTCAATCAATGAAATTAAAATTGGACGGCTGAGTCGCTTGTTTCGTGCGGTGCACCCGGTAACTCGGCAAAGGAGACGGCTCAAGAAACCGCTCCAAAAGAATACCATTTGATCTAGGCAGACTGTCGCCTCTAACGGAATTGTTTAGGGCCGCAAAATTTTGGACAGGGACTGGGATGATAGTACGCCAGTTTTTGTGCTGGTGAAATTGAAAATGAAAGAAAAATTCCTAAATGTTTTTCATAATTACGTTTCCATGATCCGACAAGTATAACCGTTTCTGGTTCTTCCACTCAACATGCTCCACATTGGTTGAACGTTTCGGTAATGATGTTTGGTGACGTAAAGCATAATGACTTTACAGGTGGAGCCGCCAGGCCGGCAGAGCACTTTGAACCGTCCATCTTTCACAGTCATACGGACGTATAGGTGATAGGTGAATTGTGATAAAACTTTAATCTGCTCTCTCAAAATGTTCAATCAGCTTTTCTGGCGGCAGTAAAGCGGAGAGCGGTACACGTATGTCCCTTTTTAAAATCGTCAGAAAAGGGTAAAAAAGTTTCCATACAGTAGTCTAGTACTAGTAGAAAAGCTGGAAAATAGAAAAATGCGTTTCGTCTCATTGGTCTATCTGCTTTTCCGATAGCATAAAAAAAGTGTTCAATCGGCTTCTAGTGCTACTTTGATAAAACAGATATAAAAAAACAGATATTATCCACTTTTGAAGTCTGCGCTTTTTCTTTGAATTTAGATGCCACTTTGTGCAAAACACAGGTAATAATACTTTTTTGATCCTAAAGGACTACACAGAAACATAATACGGGTAAATGATATCCTTTCAACGTTACTTTCTTGTGTTTATAAAAAAAACAGGACGAAACCGGGTGAAAAGAAAATATCCCTTTGAATTTGATGAGGACGTACGTACCTGCTTAATCTTCAAAACAATAATTAGTTGTCTATGGGAATATTTGTCGTCGGGTCCAGGAGGGGCTCGTTTTCTGGAACTACTAGAGGGCGCTCATGGTTTGATCATAGTAGTAAGTTATTCTGGGGTGAGGGTACCTTTCAAGCGAAAGGGGAGCTAAACCATTAGGCCCTTGTGGAATCGTCATTTGGTGTCTTGTTCATGCTTTGAGGCACATTTCATGACATTTGGAACATGTCTGTTGTTAATGTCAAAATTTTGGCAGGATCCCTCAGACAGAAGATTTAACTGCCCGTTTCCTGGTAAACTAAAATACAAATTTTGATTTATCGGCTACACATATGGTTTATACAGCAAAAACATTTTAATGGAGCACTAAAAATATTACAGGAATGCATTAAAACGATATTTAAAGGGTTGATAATGTGATTTTTCATAGGCAAGTATGTTTTGTGCAACTTTTTTGTCTTGCATCTTTGGCTTTCCTTCGTGATGACTCCCGTTGAAAAGTGAACCTTGTAAAATCATGAGGGCGCTGTTTGGGGCGTTCATTTTTGGAATGGGTTTCTGCTCAAGCTGTGAACCCCAACGTCGTGCTTATTTAACTTATATGCTAGGGGACAAATCTTCGCTCACGGGGTGAATGTCATGAACCGAAACATCAAAGCAAACATTTGTGGTAGCAAAATATCAAACATTCTGACAGTATAATGCAGTATTTAGTGGGAAAATATCGTTCTTAGATGACATCACACGTTTGCTCATATGATTATTGTGATGAGTTTAAAAACTGTTATGGAGGCTTAGGCCTTGTCCGAATATCCAAGATCTTTATGAAAGTGAAAGCGAAGTCCATAACAAATCAAAGGTTCAAAATAAGAACTTGAAGCTTTGGGTTTCATAGAACACATAGCGAAATTCGGCAACGCTACTTTTGGAAAGCAATGTATAAAGATGTGGACAACAGGGTGCGTAGTTGTATCTCCTGTGCTCAGAGAAAGACGCACCGATATAAGGTTTTAGCACCTTTAATGACAATGAACGTTCCTGGAGCATTTGAACGTGTAAGTTTCGATATTTTAGGACCATTATCTACTACAGCGAATGCTAATCGTTATGTTCTCTGTTTAAATTTCACAGATCATTGCACTAGGTGGCCGATTTTGGCCCCCTTGAAGAACATAGAAGCAACCACAGTAGCCAAGGCATTCTACGACAACGTCATTTGTGAGCATGGTTGTCTAGAGACTTTGCTAAGGGACAGAGGGTCTAACTTTCTTAGCAAGATTGTCCTAGAGGTTTGTCGAATTATGCAAACTCACGAGTTAAATACCAGTTCGTACCATCCACAATGTAACGCTATTCAAGAGAGGTTCAATTCATATTATTCTGGATACCATTTCCCACCATGTAAACGAATTTAACAATGATTGGGATCAGTACCTTACATCGATACAGTTTGCGTATCGTACGGCACCTGCTGAAAATTCAGTTGGATTTAGCCCCTTCTTTCTTTTATATGGCAGAGAGGCAAGGTTACCTTTAGATGTAACACACCTTGCTCAGTGCAAATATCCTGAGAAAAATCGTCGAGAGCATATGCGTCAGTTAGTTTCCCAACTTGAAGTTTTCCGAGACATATCCAAACTTCATGCAGAGCTCAATCAATCCAAAATGAAAGAGCGTTTTTAATGAAAAAAACACAAGAGGTGACGTACCAAGTGGGAAATACAGTTTGGATTTACATTCCTGCACTTCAACAAGGATTGTCCCGAAAAACTTACGAAGTTCTGGGCTGGACCATATCTTTTAGTAGAACAAACATCTCCGGGAAATTTTTGGGTCAGAAATTTGGAAAATAACAAATTACTTTCATCACCCATACATGTAAACCGAATGAAATTTGCATATAACAGATTTGGTCGCCCTTGTGATGATTCAGTCCCAACTGATCCGGAACAAGGTGTTTCCGTACCAGAGTTGACAGAAGATAACTGTCAACAAAATACTGTCTTTCCTCTCACGGCAGTACAAGAGTCTAATGAATTGAAAACCTTGGCAGTACTTGTTCCAGGTTTACCTCAAATTTAAGAGAAACCGAGAGAGTACGAAATCGAGCGCATAATTAGAGGTAGATACAAAAACAAGCGTCTTGAGTACCTCATCAAATGGAAAGGTTTCTCTCAAGCACAGAACACTTGGGAACCAGAATCAAACTTGAACGAAAGAGCTCTAGAACATCTTAAAGATGAGAATCTCTGGAAGCTGTAAAATAGATATATCTTTTTTAGAAACACTATAGACACTTTATTTCAAATGTTGTATTGAATGTCATTTTGCGTATGTTATGACATTAAGATGGGGTCATGTTTACAGTGAGCAAATTTTGCGAACGTAAGTTAAGCTTGGAAACTTGAACATTTCTGTCTGAACCTTTTTGTTGACGCCACTTTGAATGTTGTTTTGATTTATGTTTCTTGTATAAAAATGTTTTTAAAAAGTGTTAATTTTTGATTGGCTGCATATTTATCGAATTAAAATAGCTAATGTCATACTTGAGTGATTAAAAATTATTCAACTTCCGGTGACGCGCGTCATGAACTGGAGTCGTCATCTAAGTTGCCGAATCTTGTGAAGAACCTGTGGCCTAATCAGCCTGACGAGTCAATGTGGATGATATGGATGGTTGAAATGGAGTATTTGAGAAGGTTCTGCACAATCAAGGCAACGAGAACATCAGCTGTAATGATCGACATTGGCGAACCAACATGAATCGGAACAAGCAGACTTTATTCTAAATGAAATAATGTTAACTATTGTGACATTTGATTTATTATATTAAACTATATTTTTGTAAGTCAGTTGTCAGGAGTCTCAAACGACTGAGATACTCGTGAGTATTTTTCCTGATTTTTGGAAGTTCAGGTATTTATCACTGTTGGCTATGGCAGTTTCGTTACTGACCAGCAACCTGCAATGACCCACAAAATTGTCACAGCGCCCTCTTTGTTAAAATCATTTTGGGGTACCGGATACCAATCAAACAGTCGGATACTCGCCATGGATGCCCGCTGTATCCGCCTAGAATTTACTTGTTGTAGGCAGGCATGTGGGTCTGGCACTTAGACATATTGATAACAAGCTGGTACCCTTGAAGGGCACTACATGCAGAAACAGGCCTGGTTTACTCAATGCGTGACTCTCATGTTCATGTGTACACGTACACGTACACGAACATTGTAGGCCCAGTATATGTTCGAGTACCGTTCTGACTTGTGCCAGTAATAATTATCTGCTGTGTTCGAGGAGACACGCAAGGGACTGGTGTATTTTTGTAAATATTCGGAAGGACAAAGTCTAAGAAATAATGTCGGAGAAGTCGGAGACAAAAGTGTATACCTTAGAAGAAGTTAACAAGAACAAAACCAGCCAGTCAATATGGGTGGTGATTCATAACAAAGTCTATGATGTCACGAAGTTCTTGGACGACGTAAGTTCACTCCGAACTGATTTCAAATAGGCCTATGATTTTACATCCACACTAGGGGTTAGGGTTAATTCCAGAAATTAGGGATCCAAAGTGTGACATTTTTGTGTTCCTGTTACGCCTGACCTTTGTTATTTTACTT